TCTAGTTTTCCTGGAGTAACATGTATAATTGGTCCGTATGTAAAATACGTATACTTTTAAGACAAATCCAAGTTTGCTCCGATCGAAATTGAATGAACGGCTGATCCGGTGAATTTGCAAGTATCGACGATTGAATGAATGTACTTAAACCGGGGAAAAGTGGTGCGATATGGTCGATTAACTCGTTTGGCTCAATGGATTTCACGGATTGTTACTTCTGGCCAAATGAGTCATCTCGTCGTTTTTTACTCTCGACGTTTATCGGCTTCACGGGATTAACAAACTATTTTTATTTTTTCGCTCTTTCCTTCGGCTCGATACTACCGATTTCTGAAATCTTTTACATAGGATTTAAATACAATTTCATGTTAAAAATACAATGCATGGTTTGGGCTTAAAAAATGTGTTTTCAATCATCAATTATAAGGCAGTGGGTGAATCAAACAACATTTTTTTCAGCCAAAACAATACGATACAATTTTAAAGAAAACACAAAAATTTGTAGTTTATAATTGGCAGTTATACAAAAGTTTGGCACACTTATCTGCCAGACAATTATTTTTAAATTTTTTATTGTAAATAGGAACGAATAGATAAAATTTAAAAAAAAGAAAAATGCAGTTTATCCAGGAAAAAAAATTTCTTTCGATTTATTTAAAAATCTGTTACTAAATAGTTACGCTCAAGTATAGACGTTCGTACAATTGAAATGGATGAAAATTCACTCTTGCATCTACCGGACATCATAAATCTAAATTAATCCCATTGATGACAATAGTTTCCAACCCAAAAGGAAGAACAAACAAGAGAGCAAAGATGATGGATAAATTACACTCGTATACCCTCGATTTATCACACAATACACACGTAGGACGAGTCAAAATGATAATTGGATGAACTACGAATTTTGCGACCACGTGGAGCCGACGCGTAAGAGGAAATTTTTGTTACTCTGCTTGTAGTGTATAGATTTTTTTTCTGCAAGAAAAGCACATTGTATCAATCAAATGCTGTTTTCGGAAGTGCAAAAGCACCGCGAAAAGACAGGGGATGCCAGACAGAGGGATTGGCAGCCTCTCGCTCGGTATATTTGTTTTGTTATTCTCGTCGGCGCGCAAAAATAGAATGCATTATTTTTTCTCCTTCGAGAAGCAAAGTGCTAATTGACTGTCGTGAAAAATAAAGCTCGTGTTATTTTAGGGGCTTAATTTTGGGATTCTCACGAAAAACATTTATTTGGACAATTTTTTATTTCATTTTACACTTTCTTATACTCGAAAAGCCTCAAACGAAAAAAAAAGAAGCACAATCCACTCTGACTATATTATCGAAGGGATTGAAGTCCCTCCCATTTGGACAAAAATCCCGGGCAGTTCACGCTGGACGAGCATCTCGGACAAAAAAATATTACGTCTCCGTCTGTGCGTCATATTACGCAAGCGACATTTTTAACTAAAAAAAAAAAAAAAAAAAAAAAAATAGCAATTTCGCGGCACCGATTAAAGTCCTGCGCATAAATCGGCGCAATCAAGCGCTCGTATTTTATTAATAAAATCGCGATGACGCGCCGGCCGAAGTAATAACGGTAAAAGCGTCGTAGCCGGCGTTCGTAACATTATTGGCTAGCCGGCCGGCCGGCGCGCATTTGCTGCGTATCCTCTGAGCTTGGCTGTAATCAGCTTTGGCAGCCTTGGGTGTGATTTCTATTACGCAAGAGCTCAACTTGTATTTATTTCGGCCGCCTCTCTCGATATTTTTTTTTTTTTTGCTTTTCGGTATATAGGTATCTCCGAAATGTCCTTAGGTCGAATCGTCATTTTTCCATGGATTCTTTGGATTCGATGGGATTTTGGCTGGTAACGGGAGCGAATGAATTGCGTAAGGTATGGCAAAACCTTAGTATATTATATATTTTTGTCTTGAGCCAAAGTTGGCACAAAACTGTCAGGGAGCGCGAAACATTCGAAAAGAAAAGGGATAAACAAAGAGAATTCTTAAATAGAAGGAGAAAAAAAAATAAAACCCATTCGCGTAAATTGACACTTGGGGTCGCTTGAAGGAGAACAACTGCGTGCTCGTTTGGGAATCTTGTATATTATGTGCATGATTTTCGAGTCAGTGCGCTTAAGCCTCTTTTTTGCCAAAATGTGTATTTTGGTGTGGCCAGACGTTCACTGCTATGGAGTTAAATTATTCTTGCCTGCATTAACACACTAATTTATTATCGGTAGATACCATGTGGAAAAAAAGTGATGCACAAAAAAGCATTTAATCGCACATTGGGTTCCAGAAAATGGCATATTCGCTGCTCGTGCATAAATTATGGACAGGTAAATGACTGACCACTGTCTTTCTAGTCGTGCAATACGTATCATCTATGTACCAATTGCGTCAAACTGTGGGGCATCGAATCATTACTCTCGTTAATTTACAAACTAAGACCTATTATCAGTACTATAATTTTCTTACCACTAGCTTTGTTAAACGCACTTCATGAGATCTTATAATCATCGTGACTATACGTTTTATTTATCCAACTAGCATACCACGCACCATTTAAAGTAATACAAATTTTGCCTCATTGTTATCTTTGTAAACTTTTTATTTTAACTCCACGATAAAAACAAATAAAAATTTAACAAATTGTTATTAATAAAAGCGTACGTGATGCAAGGATGTTCTAAAATCAAAAGCATACATTGTATCTGTACACACTTATGTCTTCTCAACTATAATTAAATACGTTTTTTATTTTTGCATAACCAAAAACCTTTTCACAACTAAATAACTAGAAAATTCGTCACGAGCACGGGGCTTAAAAACATAATTTTCCACTTCGCTGAATTAAAAAAAAAAAAAAAAAATATCAATCCCTCGCGTCGACATCATATTGACAAACTCAGAGAAGCGCTTCGCGGAAAAAAATCAATGCAATCGTGTAATCGTACCTCTTCCTCATACTCAGCCCATCACCGCCGCGCACTGTGTGCAACAAGTATATATATGTTACAGGTAGCACTGTACAATCGGTGCCCGTTCGTAAATCAAAGCTGGAGGATATTTTAATAAATGTCGAGGGTATTTTATTACTTGACGAACAAAATTATCGATCCACTCAATTCGGGAGAGACAAAAAAAAAAAAAATACGCGTCTCCAAAACCTTGGCGACGGCCTCCGCACTTGAAGACGGACCCCTCCGCACTGTACTTGTAATATATTCCGCTCCGACGCGACAATAAAAACACAAGTTTTTCATATCTCTCAGTGCACGCGCTGCTCGTATAATTATATTGCTTGCTTGTGATGATAATAATAACGAGGCATTTGAGATTCGCGGGGCAGGTTAGCTAAGCCTCGGTTTTTCACGCTCGCTGATCTCCTTCTCGCGGCGGATGCGACATTAGATACCACGCGCGTGTATACACACCTGCTGCTGCACCGCTTCCTCCCCCAGCCCACCTTGTACACTCATCTACGCTTCTTCCTTCCTTCCTTCTTTCCTCGTATAAAAAATATACTCTAGTTTTTTAGACGTAAGAGTGGGATTTTTTTTTTTTTTTTCATTTCGCAAATTACGGAGGGTTCGGGGAACGAAGCGAGGGCCGATTTTTTTGGCTCGATACGTTTTTTACTCGATAAATTAGCAACGGGAGATCGGTAATTCATTTCCCTACTTATGTATCAAGTCGTTGTATGATTTTGACGGTGACAATGTATACATATATATGTGCGGGAAGCTGGTAAAATGATCCAATGCATTTTTAAAAAATATCATTGTATACTGTATCCAGTAGATTCCATCCTGTATTGAATCGATTCGATTTTTTGCTGTTTCCTTTCCAAAACTATGTTTTTCCCCAACTGTTACGCGGAAACCTGCAACGTTGCGCGATTTGCGTGTAACACGTGCAGTCTCGTGCACTCGTATCGACTCTACTTCGGGAAAACCGTCAGAGATATTGTAAAGTACGTGGGAATGTATAGCAGCAGGATCGAAACGAAATAAAATAAGGGGGGAAAAAGTAGCTTTGAGAGGATAAAAGGATGATCGCTTATGATTGTAGCCGAGGCTGTGTGTGTACGTGGTATGATTTGTCTTTCGAGTGTGTATATACGCGTATTATACGTTTATTGGTCGCGTAAATGGTGATATCCTTGTGTGTTTTACGTTATACCCTGCTTTCTGTATTATCTCGATAAACAATGTACCAAAAATTATCGGTAAATGTTTGCCGATCGTATCGTCATTGTCATCGATTTTTAAGATTATTTGAGTGATCATCTACAAATAAATTGTTCCGATCGTTGACAAGTGCATCGAGTATCACACAGAGTCTATAAACGTACAATGTTCGTATATATTATTATCTCGTGAAACTAGGACGTTATCAAATTGTCATCTAGTTCATATACATATATACATGTATAGACAAACGTAAATCAATCGTTTGCTTGTTTAGCCAACAAAACGGAACTTTTGATGTAATTTGGGACACGAGTGAGATATCGTTGGCGCCTTGAAATGAAATGTGGGTAGTGACGATTGAAAATAGAGTTATCTATCTCGTTGAGGGTTAAAAGTACAAGGACGGACAGTAGGTACTCTTATAGAGACGCGATATCGCAAAAACTGAACCACACATTTGATACATTACGTGGTCCATGTGTCCCCGAATTTTGAATACACCAACTGACAATGGGTGACAATCGGTGTATCCACCCCATATTGAAAGACGCTCGATCAAAAAATCTTTTTTTATCACTTTTATACTCAATATAAGTATACGAACAACGAAAAGTGACCAAAAAAAAAAAAAAGTAATACGGGAAAGATACAAGTATACGCTCACGTATTTTTATAAAATTCTTCTTCCTCGTACAAACGAATACCCGCATCCACGACCCTGACCCGTTAAATAAACTTGTTAATCATGTCGCACGCGATTGACGAATCATAAAATTGAAAAAAAAAGAAATTAAGACAATCGTGTGTACTTACAAGTTTTTCCCTTTCGCAGAGGGACAGCAGTGCCGGTGAGCGAAGGCGTAGCTACACTTGTTTTCTTTTTCCTCTTTTTCTGCCCAGATACAGGCGACTCAAAGTTTTGTAGCCTGTGTATATACTTTTATCTTCCGAGCGCTTGCGAATTGCCGATTGTACGTGGAACGATCGGAGTTGACGGTGTCTAAATATACACGTCAAGTCGAATCGCGCGCGTGTATATATGTAAACACCAAATCGAGGCTTATCTAGTATTATGTGTGATAAGTTAATCGACGTCTGTACACTTTGGCGACTTTGGCCTTATAACACTTTGCTCGTATGTATAAATATATGTATATATATCTGTAACAGTTATTTCAGCGCGAGTGCGAGTAGCGTAAGAAATGACGCGTGTGTACCAAAAATACGCGAAAGTATTGTAACCAAAGTACGACGGAGAAAAAAAAATGATACCGGCAGTACACGTATACCGATAGACGCGAATTCTCGTCCTCTGTCCTTCTTTCTCCTCCCGAGTGTTTGTCCGGTGCGCCCTTAGCGCCCGCTAGGACGGAACTGGTGCGCGCTTTGCCGATTTGACATCAGCTCTGCCCCTGTACGAGCGCGAAGACGAGGACGAGGACGGGCGAGAGAGAGAGAGCTGCTTCTGTTTTCTCCCACTGTGCCCCGGCGCTCTACACAGGCCCTCTTTCTCTCCGTGTGTCTGTCTGTCGTTCTCTCGGCGAATCGGCCGGTGTACCTGTGTGCAAGTTTACGGAGAGAGATCGTCTCGGCCGGAGATCGGTAAGGAGTTTGGCTCTCTCTCTCTCTCTCTCTCTTGCCCTTTCATATAGTACATGAGACTGCCTACCAGCTTTCCCAACGTGACGAGTCGCCGATTTCTCGCGGCGGATTTTTTTTTTTTTTTTTTTTCATCTTTCAGATGAGAAAGGAGTGTAGATGCCGATTTTTGCCTGTCAACACGATTCATACGATTTTTTTTGTTCCTCTATCTGTTTAACCAGTGATTGTCCACGACTGAAACAAAACTCCCGAAAAATCGTCAAATTTTGACTCTATTGAAAAAACAAAAATCGGTATAAACTCTATCAAATGCTTACCTCGTAACGACGCGACACATACTCCAACGCGCATCCTGGCATCATCTCATAACAAAGTTCCATCAGCTTGTCCACACGTACACGCAAAAAAGCTCGGCCTAACCGATTTTTAGGTGATCGGTGGCGTGATTGGCTCTGAGATTGGATAAGCTCGTCTTTATCACCCAGGCGCCACGTGAAGCTCGAAAAGTGAGAATCGTTATCGCAAAAAGCAACAGTGGAGGTGACGGGGAGCCGAAAAAACGTTCATATCTTGACTATATCGAAGTTTTTGTTTGGCAAACGTCGCTCTTCGTTTTTATTGCGAAATGGCACTTTAAGCGCCATTAGGTCAGCTAGGAATCTCGAAAAATTGCATATCCACACTATTAGACTACGGTCAACAGTATCGGAGATCGGCATCCGATCTTCTTTCAGGTGCCATAAGCAGCTTTATACACATCTATTTTTAGCCAATCAGTGCCGGTTACCATGGGCTGATACAAGCATTTAAAAAACAAAAAAGGGAAGGTTTATTGAGCGCTTAAAAAAACGAGAGTCGATGAGAGGAGGCAAAAAAATAAAAGTAGAGCTTTGACTCTGCGTGCGTTGAGGCGCTCGCGCGGCCTCGTGCGCTTCACGTGATCACTTTTAAATGCCCAATCAGGCCGGGCCTGCGGACACGTGAATTTTCTTTTTCTTTCTCTCCGAGTGTGTTTCGGGGCTCCCTCGATATGCTACCGCCTGCTTGTACATATTTTTTTTCGAGCCGAAGATTCTGCTGAAAAATTTACGACAATATTTTTTTTATCTTTGTTCAGTCACTTGGAATTAAGGTTTTTTTTTTTTTGTTGTTTTTCTTCAGCGATGTTGTTGGATAATTTAAGGTGAGTGTATTTTGTAACTTTTTTTGTGGGTCAACCATGTTATGGCGCGGCAAACGGAAGCGCGTTTTTTTCGGGAAGGTCGATTTCGAGGCAAATTTTTAAGGTCAAGTTCATGGGAACAGATTTACGCTGCGATGCGAATGTAGTTATGTAAATGAGATCAAAATTTTTCGTAATGCAAAGCAGATTTTTCGGGAATCGGTATCGATGAATACTCGCTTTTTCTATCGATTTTCAAGGAAAAACGTATAGTATTTTTATTTTTTGGATAAAAATCTTATTGCTCTTCCACTCGATAATAACTAAACATATTAAATTTGCGTGACAAAATTGGATGCCGGAAAACATATTTCACGCGTGTTGTTTGGCACCTTCGTTAAAACGTAAAAGAAGCCAAAGCAATGAATCAATGGATAATTAGTTCCAGCGTGGCATGAATTTATTGTATAAAAACTAAAGTAACATATAAGTTTATCGATACCTTAATTAGCCGTACATCCTTGAGACTTTCAGTCCCGAGTTAATGAACCCGTCTCCTTCCCTATAAATCTGTCGATATCGCATTTTTCTAGATTCGCATGCTGGTGCGATACCAGGGGGTATAATTATCATCAAAATATAAATTTTCTCTCAGATTTCCATTTCAAGTCTCAAGAATTTTTACTCTTTCAATTTTTACAACATAAAATACCAAGTCTGCAATTGCACTACACAAGTACTACATTTTATCTGGGTCCCTTCCGTATGTATATCATCTCAATTTACCTTTGTATCGGCGAATATAAAGAAAAAAAATAAAAATAGAAACAAAAAGGTGACAACTAACTCGCTCGCCTTATCAAAACCTGTAGGCTGGGGCAGGTTTCTCTTATATATACGCCTACGCGCCGTTTCATTCGTATACGTAGCTGTTATCGGTCCGTCGTCTTTTTTTCGTGAGCACCGGTGTCTATTGGTTTTTTTTTTTCGTTTTCCATCAAAGAGTGGGTCGTAGTTTTGTTGATTCTATCGCACGACCGAACGCAGATAGTGAAATTTGAATTTTTCAACGGTCCAGACGCTTATTTATACGCCGAAGATATAATATACAAGAGATACGCTATAGTAGATTTGTGTTGGTGTTCCGCACTAAAACTCTCCTCTTTCCACCGAAGGAGATATTGTAGTTTTCGCTTGGAGGAAAGACTACGATTTATACCCTACATTCTACTCTAATCTCTCTAATCCCTCTCTGGGGGTTAACTTAACGGAGAAACGAGGCGTTATTTTTCAAAAAGTGATCCATATAAAATCGAAAAGGTTACAACAGCTAACGGGTGTATAAAATTTTGAATAAGCGCACTGAAATACGCAGTAACGCAGCTGAAGTTATTAAACATTGCCGTAGATGTATACACATTATATCGCTATCCATTACATCCGGATGGTAATTTTTATTTGTTAAAAAATAATTACTTCATCAACTAAACGAGCATGTAATCGTTTTTGCAATAACTGGGTACATTTTTTTCAAAAATAGCCAGTTTCTATACATTATTTTTTGCAATTTTTGTTTGTATAATACCTGAAAGTACAAATCTAATTTTACTGGACTAAAAGAACACAAAATACATGCTTGGCATGGGTCATCACGTCATATCAGTAAAGCCAATATAGCGGGATAGAATCAGCGAATTAAAATTACGAACAAAATGAGCCGCGTTTTTTTCGCAAATCGCAAAAAACTGCCATTTTTAGCCATTTTTTCGAAACTCAACAACTCGCGTTCTATAAAATATTAAGAGCTGAAATTTTAACACAAGGTAGATATTGTAGTCCTTAACACTCACACAAAATTTGTTATCGTTCATTTGTTACCATAGATTCAGACTACTACTCTTTTTTTTCGCGTTAGTCAGAATTTTTGTAATATCGATATAATTTTATCCGCAGTTAGTAGCTCTATCCTCTATCTCTCCCCACACTTTACTAACACATGCATTATGTAGCTCATCACACGTACAAGCAACTAAGGGAGTTGAATCTGTTCTACAACTTATTAAAGCAAAGTAGAAAAAATTACTATCCGATAGTTAAGAAGTAAGAGATTATAACAGAGAGGATAAGTATATAAAAAAGTATCTTAACATTGATGAAAAAAAAAAAAACAATTGCGGCTGCAGTCAATCATGCTACTCCATGTCCATGTACTATTTCCATAACCACGTGGATTGACGTCGTCGGCGTGATGTGTACCCACCATTATAACATTAACGCCCACCAATTCTGACTTATCGGAGTTCACGTTACGAAGAAAACTCGTAGAGCATGTCAAATTCAAATGGTACCTTTTTTTTTATAGCAAGTTCTTAGATAGCACGTCCCGCTCAATCGACAATGTAACATGATCGAGAAAAGTTGCAGATCTCACAAAAATATACCCAAGTCGCAATGAAACAAACGCATACTGCCAATTTTTGTTCAGCCTATCCGTTTCCAGTTGTCTTAACGCTCGTGGCCACATAAACGAGACAATAGATCCTGCCTTGCGTGTACATAATGTTATACTTACAGCTACGCATCTTGAGGCCATCCTCGGCAACATTAATCCCATTTGCATGCACAGAAACTAGCTGGCGACGCTCTGTCGCATCGCGTTCCAAACGCGTACGTCTACTTGGGCGATAAGTTCAAGGAACGCGGCTACGGTCATCAGTTTGTGCGTGAATTATCAACGATGTAGATGACGAAAAAATTATAACTAGAAATCGAAAGGCTTAGCGGAAGATAGATTGTTTACAGGGTTGTCTTGTTTGGCATGAGGGGTTTTTTTTTTTTTTTTTTTTTTTTTTCATTGCCCCGTTGAAACGCGGCTGATTTAAGTTACGGTGCATTTTGAAAAACAAACCACAACGTTATGATATTTAAAAAAGCCGCCCTTACGCCCATATTTATTAACATCAAAGGAATTGCACCTACATTTTTCGGAATAAACGTGAGAACAAAAATAACCGCGTAAAGTCGTGAGTCCCAAATGGTGTTATAACTTTGAGATGACGTGTTTTTTAAATTATTAAAGTGATCTAGAAAAAGGGACAATCCACGGGGGATCATCCGTTTTCCGCCAACGTTCCCGGTATCGTCCAATTAAAAGAGTAAAACACACCGCGCGGGCGTCCCGGGAAAATATAATAACCGTGTCCATTAATCCGGTTGCAATGAGCGGGGCAAGGTGGGACGGGGGGTACAAAAGAGCGATAAATAAGCTCGCACGCGGGAATAAATCCCTTAAGCTCCTCAGTCGGCTGAACCGGAGGAGCAGCTCGGTGGAGAGTCAAAGTTCGGCGGACAGTCACAGCCGGGGCACAGGGGGCGGCAGCCATCGCCGGCGCAGCCACAGTCGTGGTCACCGCAAGCACAACCGACACTCGGACTGNTATATATAAAAATATTTAACAACTTGAAGCAAAAAATGGTAATTATTAATCAGCAGTTGCTATATAGTGAGCCAACATTTTTGTGTTTGCAATGACTTGAATTAAATTTAATGAGTAGACGGATTTGGTGTGATAAGACGTAGATAATTCTTGTGCATTTTTAAGCA